CGAGCTGCTATATGTGCGTGATGCGCTAGATGCATTCCGAAAGAAGTCTTATGCCCTCCACTACTATCTCAACCGTTCTCCTGCACAAATTTGTGCTACCTTCCAGACTACGATTCATCAGGTCATTGCAACATCACAGAGAACACGAGAAAGTGGGTCAACTGCTTGGTAAGTCACTGAAAATCGATTTCGTTCAACCTCATTAATTGGTTGAGCGCAGGTGGAAACCACTTGAAGCATCCTTGGCTGCGATTGGCTCTCAATCTGAAGATGTCCTCGAGTGCATTGAGAATGAACAGGATTCTGGTCGAGCAAAACCTATTGACGTGGAGGATTTGCTTGCCAATGTTGTTCCGTCAGTCTTAAACCAGTCTGGTATGCATCAGGCATCTTCATGCGGGGTTCATGTTATTTAATACTTCTTCAGACTTTCCATTCTTGCAAGGCAGAGGTTTCGTATTCGCGAGCCAGTTTGCCAGGCTATTGCCATTACAGATGGCTGGTCAGTATCTGGAAGCCGCTATGCATGTCATTGAATCGAATTCTGCTGGGATTCCCGTGAAAATATCTGCTGTCAAAGCTATCCACAAGTATGTGTTGTGTACTTCGAATGACACGCCTATCTAATGTCATAGCAGCTTCTGTGAGGGCGCGGAGGACTCGGCTATTATGCCTTTCGTGTCGCGGATTGCACAGGACCTCGGGCCATTCCTACTGGTAACAACTGAGGACACGCTATCCTTGGTTCTTGAGACGATGTCGGTTGTTCTAGATGTCAACAGGGCTCAATGGCTCACTACTGACTTGTCCAACTCTCTCGTATTGGCCGTCCTGGAAGTCTGGGCAAAGAATAACAAAGGTAGATTACCTCCCCTCCACATTTCAACAAACTAATCGGAGATCGTAGATCCCATCTTCTTATCAATTTTCGCCGAAATATTCACCTCGCTGGCCTCTTCGACTGGCACAGGAGTGTACGAAACGGTTGTTAAACAGGCACTTCCCACCCTCTGTACTTCCATCGCGAGTTCCAAACCTCAAGAAGCCTGGATAGCAGGGTCTGCCATTGACTTGATCTCAAGCCTCGTTCGCGGTGCACCCGAAGGTGGCCTTGGAGACGGCTTCTTCGCTCTCCTAGCACCTAGCTTGTTTAGCTGCCTCAGTGAAGCGGAGGATCGTGATGTTCTACAAAACGGCATGGCGTGTCCTTGCTCTAATAGTCCGCAAAGATTGCAGGCAGATCCTAGAATGGCGGGACCCATCCGGTCAATCCGGTCTCGATCATATCATGAAGGTTATTGCGAAGCTCCTGCAAAATGATGATGAATCCGGTGGTTTGGTCATTGGTGATCTCATCATCCACTTGCTGCGCCATGCAGGTGAAGCTGTTCTCCCAGTACTTCCAGAGCTTCTTCAAGCTATGGTATTACGGATGCTATCGGCCAAGACGGCCACTTTCATCCAGAGCCTCGTTATTCCATTCGCGTTCCTCGCCTACAACCAGCAGGACACAGTATTGTACTTGCTGGAATCGACTACGACGAATGGCAGAAACGGTCTTGATATTCTCATACAGACGTGGTGTGAGAACGCAGAAACGTTCCAGGGCTTCTGGCAATCGCGTGTTAGCACACTGGCGCTCACAAAATTGTACGCCTCTGGTCGGCCAAGCCTGCAATCATTGATGGTCAAGGGCGATATTATCTTGAAGCCAGAGACGAAGAACGGTGAGTCTTCCTTCTGCATAAACAACCATTCGTTTCCGGATATTCAACGGTTTCTGTTTGTGCTTCGGGGACAGTGATCATGACCCGGTCGCGAAACGAAGACGAGTATGCATCATTTACCTATCTCTGGTTTTTCTTTGCTCGGTTTGATGCTGACTTTTGGCGGTGCAGCACCCCATGAATTTACATCAGTGCCTTTCCCTGTGAAGGCACTTAAACTGTTAGTGCACGACCTCAGAGCTGGGGTGATTCTGCGACGATCCCCAAAGCTGAATTTGATGTAGACTCCGACGATGGTGTACGTACTGTTTGCATGCTCCTTTATACGTCCTGCTAAGCGATTGACAGGATGAAGAATGGACAGAAGAAGAGCAACAGAATCAGGGCTTCAAGCAAGAAGAATTTGCCTTCCTTTCCGAGATGCTGGGTCCCCGCGGCGTCAACTTTGACAATGACGACATTCTGGAAGAGACGGATGATGAAGACCTCAGAAACGATGGTATCTCTCAGATTGACATGCAGGTAAGTCTAGCTGGTTTCAAGGCAACTCGTACGTGCCTGACAGGTCTTTCAGGCACATTTGGTGACATTCTTCAAAGAATGCGCAGCGCACAATGTCAACAACTTTTCCGCAAAACATGGACCAATTGTCGGCTGAAGAGACCATGGTTGTGCGCCACGCCATTGATCACTGAATTTGGATGGTCAGTTTCCTACTACAAAACATATTGTACATGAAAGCAAGAGCGTTACGTGATGATGGTATCCTGTCTCATAGATACAAATGAGTATTCCTGACAAGCAGCTCTTAAAAACCCTCCTTCCCCAAGTCCCATTCTCGAACAGTCCCCCTTTTCTTGTACTCAATGTCCATAATGTTATCGCCTCCACTAGCCCAACGATCAGCAACTCCACTGTCTGTATCTTTCTTGTTGACCTTGTCTTTTGATATTCCGAGACGTTCAAGACGCTTCTTTTCAGCTTTATCTTCTCGCCGTTGCCGAATGAGTTCAAGCATGGCATCCCAACCCTCGAACTCTGCGTCACTGACCAAGCCAGTAGCAGGTACGTTGGGGACAGGGAGTGTTGCAACGTCGAGTCGAGGGTCGTAAGATTCTTGAAAGTATTTGTCCATCTTTGAGGGAAGCTGCGCGGGTGGTAAAGGAGGGGGTGACGAAGATGGTGACCGAGCGTTGTGGTGTGAACCTGACGAAGCGACTGCGCGTCGGGGTCGGCGCGGAGGGGAAGGTGAAAGGGTACGAGGGGGCGGTTTGGTAAATTCGGCGGAAGCTCCTGCTTTGCCGTTGAAAGAAGATAGAACTTCCTCTGTGAACTCTACAGCTTCATCGTCTGGGGATGTTTGGGATGACCGGGAAGGAGACCGAGTGGTACGGCAACTCAAATACCGCGTCTGCTTGGTCTTTCTATTATCATCGTCAGATAAAGATACTGATCGCGTTCTTTTCCTGGAGACTGGAATTGCTGGAACAGGCTGGGTTGGTGACTCGGGGCGACGTGGAGAAGTAGAATGGCTTGTATGGCGCCTTTGCCTTCGGGAATTGTCGTCATCGTGTCGTCTATGTCTTCTATGTCGACGGTTATCAGAAGAACTAATTCTCTCGGAAGGTGGTGATCGCCGGTTGCTTGTCCTGTGCTTCGCATCACTATCCCGTTCCTTTGATGCTGAACGTGATCGATGTCTCCTGCTGCTGGGCCTATTTCTGTAGTAACTGTCATCGTCTTTATTAGTCTTGTGATGCCTCCCAGAACTCTTTTCTTTCCCCCTGTCCCTGTCTTTGTCTCTCCGTTGGTCACGTTCCCTTCGACCATCCCAACCATGTTCATCATGGTCAGGTCTCCGTCTCCGCATGCGCTCGGCAGCAGCAGCCTCTTCGGCACGAGCCTTCCTATCTCTGCGCTCTCGCTCATCTTTCTCCCGTTTAATTTCCTGTGCAGCAAGCGCCTGTGCGCGGAGTATAGTCTTGTTGTGATCATCTGTGCTCTTAATGATTGAAGTGAGGAAACGCTTGTTCGGGCGAGGCGCATTTGGGTCAGGCCCTAAACAAATAAGTGGATGGTTTGATTTTTTTAGATAGTGAAACCCACGCAGTTGGAAGATATGCCCTAATTCCAAGTGTGCCGTAGCTTTCGGCCTTCTGTTTGGCTTCCCTCAAGATGAGCTCTGCGACATGTCTGTCGAGGTCGTCGTCAGTGATGGACGGAGAAACGGCTGTCCCCATGGACGCCCGAACGAGGTTTGAAACGACAGAGGATAGCGACGACTTGGACATGATTGACGACGTCTCTGCGAGTCTTCGGCAATCCCACAGCTACGTTTGTCATTGTTTGGCTCATTGTGGCTTTCGGCGCTAGGCGCGGATCATAATGCATTTTCGGCGAGCGAACTTCAATTGACTCGAGTACGATATACATGACAGATATTCCTTCTGAAATCAAAGGTTTTCCGCAGGCATCGGCTCACCGCCTGATCTGCTAAGTTGACTCTTTACACAAGACTCGGTACCAAGTACGAGAAGGTCTTTGTCTGGTCTCGCGTGATAGTTTCTCCGTAGACGACGCATGTTGTGCTCAGGGGAGCTCCGCGGATCGACTTGTCAAGTTGTAGAGTTCTATGATGATTCGTTTTCAAGGCCTTTTTGTTTCCGATACAATAGCAAGGTTCATACTCAGTAATGGAAGGTCATCGACATACGTGTTATTATATTTCACGAGCAAGCGACGATATTCCCCAGACGTCGAGTTCCCTTATTGTTTGACGTCAATGATGTTAAAGCGGCTGGGACCAACTCGTGGAAACCCCGAGCTGTATCACAATCAGTCTCCTTGAAAGCTGTTGTATGTGGCACGATCCCCCCCTGTTCCATCTCTCCGTTCTGATCAAGTGGGATGACCTCATCAAAGCGCGGCCTCTTGCTGAAATCACGATCTCAGTCCGAGCAAGAACGTAATTGCCGATAGGTCACCAGTGAACGTTCCCTAACTCCCTCTAATGAGCGGGTGCAACCGCGGGCCTTTCAAAGCGTTCATTACGGTTTATTACCTGTGAGAACACAACGGTCGCGTGTAAACCTGTGTAAACCTACTAGTAGGTGCCTTAGCAAATCAGGGGGAAGTCCAAACTTTTCTGAGAAAATACCATTTCGCCTCCGGCTCGCTGAAGCAGAACCCAGAACCCTTTAAGTAGAACATCATTTCGCATCCGACTCGATTTGAAGCAACTATGTGCCGTCTGCGATTAATTGGTACACGGTCATTGCGGCATCGAGCGGGGTTCAAGTTGTGGGGGATTTAGTCTATCGATTGCGATTGAGTGGAGCAGATCGCTTTGTCTGAGAAGGGCTGTCCGCGCGGCAACAACCGACAGTGGGTTGCCCCTAACAGTGGAAGAATGTTCATGACAGAACGGAAGGACGATAAAGTGAGTCATAATGACGGACGGTGACCGTAAGTCGTGGGATGTAAACCACTGGCACTGAAATCAGGGGAATATCGATAAATCCGAGTCGCCTGAAGACATAGGAAAGTGCATGTCCCTACTATGACCCTCGTAATTGAAGGAAGACTTCTCAATCGATGATGTGTACAGACCATCGGAGAATTTGTGGGCTCTTTGAGGGTTTCGTTCCAGTAAACGTATAAGCTTCGTTAACGTTTCGATCTAAAAATGGAAGGTGTGAACCATGTGGACGGAGGTAATAGCCCACACCATCACAAGGGTTCGGAACAGCGTGCATCTCGTCATTCACCGACGGCAGTGTCAGAAATTTGTTACCGTCACTTCACTTCACCGTCTTCATATAAATATGAGGCCGTGCGTTGCACTGAATTCAATTTTCAGCCTGCAAGTGCAGGTCAATCTTCTATACATCACGTCTCTTAATCAGTGATCTAATATCATGACTCTCTGCGGATACTTACCATATTCCGGACCTCTGATGGTGAGTAGTTTCATACAGGCCGTCGAGGCGCATATTGACGGCCCATCTGCAGGTTGTGGAACACGAAATATCACTCAAATTCACGACCAGTCCTTCATGCTCTCCTCACGACTCAGAAGTTTACGACAACATTCGAACACCGCGCGTGCCCGCTAGCGGCATCCCTATCGAGATCGTGCTGACCATTTTGGAGGCCGCGTACTTCGACGATAGAGGTGGTCCTGACATCGACCTCTTAAGCAAGTGCACACTTGTATGCAGAGCATGGTCGCTGAGTGCTCAAAAACTCTTGTTTCGACGAGTTCGCCTCGGCTCGCATTCGGCGTTTACTTCATTTACTCACGCTGTCAACCGCAATTCCCCGCGCGGGAGAATACTGGGTGACGCCGTCGTTCAAATCCGTGCGGTCCTTGATTATAACCAGCCTGGTTGCCTCAACCAATCATCACTCGCTATTGCAGTGGCTAATTGCCCTAATTTGTATGAGCTTGACCTTGCTCAGTACGGGTCCGTGGCTCCTGGTAAAGATGTCGTTGGAAGTCCTGCCCAAGAACGCATGCGGCGTCCCGCCCCGTCTTTTGACGAGCACTCTCTGGCATTACTTAGCGCTGGCCCGCGCATCACGGCTTTGAACTTCAGTAATTGGTCGGAGAACAATCAAGCTGTTCTCCAACTTCTTGATGTTTGGCCTTCTTTGAAGTCACTCTCCATCACTGGAACATCTCCCGTTCTATCTCCTGACGTGACGTATCCACCATTCCCCTGCGCTCTGGAAGAATTGCGCTTGAACTGCCAAAGAGAACCTGCCAAGGAATTTCTTGACTGGCTCTTGCATCGCTCCGCGGAAGAAAAGAGTTTACGAGTCATCGACTTGGAACGTCAACCAAGCCCCGAGCTTTTAGACTTCCTCGTCGAGAAGCACGGCGAAACGTTGCATTCGTTAGCCATTCCATCTTTTGCCATGCATGAGCATGCACATGCTGCGATGCGATGCCGTTCTCTTCGTGAGCTTCGCACTGAAAGCTCATGGTCTTCTCCTGTCATTTGTCGTCAAATGCCAGAGACTATACAACACTTAGCATTCGGGCTGGACCTGGAGACCCCTCTCAATCCTATTATTGATCTCATCAAGACTCGCGACGACCTGCAAGCTGTCACAGTCAACCTTTGGGGCGACGGCCACCGTCATCCGCAGTTCGCATCTCTTCAGATGGCGTGTGCGTACCGCGGTGTTGACCTCCGTCTAACGCGGGACGTGCGAAGGATGCGCTTGTTAGTAGTGAGCATACAGCCTTCTTTCCTGCTGTAAATTGGCATTAATCGACCGAATAGCGCGGCGATCCAGTTGTGCCGCCGACGTACCCGCGCACTCGGACTCTCGACAGTATGCAACCTACTGTCCGCCCTGTTTTTGTGGCATAATCCGACGATTGTGATTCCGTCATGACACTTGAATGCCATTACCTACGAGTACCAATCTATTTGTCAAATATTGTAACGCCAACCCCCGCTCTACGTCGACTTTTGCATTATCATCTTCTAATTACACACCTTATTCGTTCATGAATATTCTCTATTGTAGCTCTTGGAATACGTATCAGTCATATACATCAATATGACAGAAACTATTACCCTATTGCACAGGCTCAACCAAAATTTGATTCATTCCTGACCTCAGTACTCAGTCATGGTCTCGTTCCTTCTTTTTCAAGGGTCACGGTGATAAACGGCAAAGATAAATCCAATTTGAAGTGGTTATAACTTATTGCGCTCAAATCTTGCACACGCTGGGGCTAGCTTTGAGTCTTCGACCCCTGCACGGTGCGTTATTCATTTTTGTTGGTTTTGAAACATTCATGAACTATGTCAGTAGCAGTCGACAATGACTACGGTGGCCTCGACGTCCAGCGAGCTGTCGAGCCTTCCAGACGTTCTCTCTGGCTCGGTGCTCGCGTCAAGCTCAACCAATCTTGATTTTCTCGCCAAATTGCCCACCAATGCGCTCTCAGACTTGCTGTCGACGCCAACCGCGCTCACGACTCAATCTCACACATTGACTTCTTCACTCACTGCTTTGACACACACATCTTATCCTACCTTTCTTTCCCTTCACCACACATCAACAGCCCTGTTGACATCGCTCTCTTCGTTTGACACGTCACTCAATTCTCTAATCAATGCCGCTCTACCAGCTCTTGATGATGCTGCACGCCTTTTTCGCGAGAAGACCGGTCCAGAGGTTATCGAGGGAAGGCAGAAGGCACGCATTGTACTGGAGCAGCACGACAAACTGTGTGACTTGCTTGATGTTCCAGTTCTCATTGACACATGCGTCCGCAACGGGCTCTATGCAGAAGCTCTTTCACTGGCTGCCCACGCATCATCTGTGTTGTCTACTCTAATCGCTCAAAGTAGGAAGAGTCCCAGCGATGACGAAGAAGCTGCGCACGGTTTGCCGCTTCAACTCGCAGATTCCTTACAAGCTGAGATAGCTTCCTCGCTGCATTCCATGCAGCTCATCCTCCTGAACACGTTATATGAACCCGCTCGCAAGCTGCCAGCGTTCTGGAAAGCAGTACAATTTCTTCGTCGAATGAAGGCGATACACGAGGACGAACTAGCACTCGTATTCATCAGCGCTCGAATTGGATGCCTTCGTGATAGCTTGGATGGCATTGAAAGGGATGCTGGTATACCTTCGGATACTGGAAGTCTGGATTTCAAGTTCTCAGCTGGAAGCACTGTAGAGGAAAGAGAACGGGAGATTGATAGGGAGGCTGATGACATCGCCCGGTTCTTGAAGAAATACATTGATGTCTGGAGGGAGGGCGCGTACGATCTTGTCACGCAATATACAACGATATTTCTCGACCGTTCGCATGCTGGAGCACGGATAGCACCACCTGCAGATGAGGATGCCGAGACATCCTCTTATATCATCCGACAAACATTGCCTTCGACACTTCTGGAGCTGCTCCTTCCGACTCTCCGGTCGTATCTTGAACGTGCTTATCCCCACCTCGCACCTCTTGCGACACAGCTTGCCTATTGTAGTTCTGCTTTAGCTCGCGTAGGGATGGTAAGTGTCATACACTTTTAATTCGACTCGCATTAAATTGGTGCGCATGCAGGATTTTCGTGCGCTACTATCATCACTGATTTCACGATCAATTGTTAACGGGTTTGTACGAGACGTACGACTCGGCGTGGAACACGAGTGGTCTGGAGTGCTAGCCAAGCACGTCACGAGCAGACCCAAGCCCTCTGCTCCTTCGGTTTGGCTGGTAGCTACGCCTAACAGTGTGCCTGCGTTCAAGACGCTCGCTCTCTCT